TTGGGATGGAGGGCGAGAGGGAAGAAAACTCTGGCTCCGAATCCGAGTCGCTGTGCTGCCGGGAGAACAGAGGAACAGTCGTTACTAAACACCCCCACAATCAGACAGCTAGACTCACAGCCAGCAGATAGGCCTGCTCTCCCTACAGCCAGGCTGCTCATGGGACACCCGCACAGCACAGAGCCACGTGGAGAGATCCCCAAGCTCGCTCCAGAGCCAGCAGCAGCATGGCTGTGTTGTGCCCAGGCCTGGCCCGTCCTGCACGGAGGCAAGGGGCTGCGCCAGTGAAAACACCCTGCTTCTAGGACCTGGCTAGTATCTGGCTGTGCTGCAGAGCTTTCCCCCCAAAACTGGGCAGGATCTCGTGGAACCAGGCACCGTACGATGTGGATATGCTCTTTGTGCCTTTGTAGCTTCCAGGGCCCTGCCATGTACAGAAGCCCCCATGACTGTGGGGGTTAAGGAGGTAGGAAGGGGCACAGCAGGCAAGCAACATGACAAGCTCTGAACAGTGCATGGCATACTTATTTAAGGAAACTCTGTGCTAGAGCTGAGGTTTTCAACATGCAGGTTACAGACTCCTGGGAGGACTGGAGGCCATATCCAAGGCATCACAAATAAAGCGCACACATATACAATGCTGTATGCAGAAACTATACAGCTCCAAAGGAGTCTGGGCCTCTACTGCCAAGCTAGAAGAGAGCCACACTGCTGAAAAACCTCTGCTCTAGAGAGACTAAGAACTGAAGGAGAAGACAGATAAACAAGACGAGAAGGAAAAGGGGAAAAAAGGAGGCCAGGCAGGGGAGCTGGCAGAACAAAGCAGAACCAGTTAAGCAGTAAGGCTGCGGCTCCTCATACCAGTACTGCAGACAGGCCCACAGGGAACCCACTGAAGGAGTAAAAGGCTTTTGTTTACTTTCATGCACGAACACAAAAACTTGATTTGCTATTCCCCAATGCCAGGAGACTGAAGTGTGCCTGCACTGGACGCTATAAGAGCTGTGTGCTGGCCCATGCGTTATGGGAGATTTGGTGTCACCTAATGGAGTCTCTTACTCTAGACCTCAGCAAGTTACTCTGGGTTTGCACGCTGGTCAGATATACCTGCTTGTTATTCACCCTCACCCCAATGCCCATGGCAGATTTTGTAATCCCTGTTTAAAGGCAAAACCCTTTTAAACTCATGTTTCTTTAGCTGTGCAAGACAGTGGGACTTGAAATGACCCAGGCTTACTTATCTACTGCCAACCCCCCTTCTCCTTTTCTAAATCTGCCCTGCAGATTAGGGAGCTTTACTTCTGCCTTTCATTGCCCCTCCAGAACTACTGCTCTCTAGAGATCTGGCTGTTCCTATTACTGCAGGAAAAGCTACTCTGACAGCAGAGAAAAGGCTCCTTTTCTTGGAGTGCTGCGTAGAGATTCGGACATAGTGCTCTGGCAGTGACCTTATAACACTTGAGCCTATCTTTTAAGCATCCGGAGCAGCTCCTTGGGTTTCCACCAGTGCACACTGCTTGGGGATAGAACTCAACATACTCAAGGACTGGGGAAAAGGGGTGAAGGAGGCGGAGATGAGTCTAATTCACTCCTTGCACTGTTTTACTGACTGCTTTCCCCACTGTATTCCTGTCCTCCAGCGTATCAGCATGCCAGGGCCAGATTCAGAAGTGATGTACACATTATGGGTTTGGAAGCATAAGGGAGTTTAAATTAGAAAGTATTCAAGCATGAATTGAATATGAAGCAGCCCCTGCTCCCTCCAGCAACAGCTGCATGAGGACAAGAAGTTAGCATGGCCATACAGCAGGCCAGACTGGAGAACTGATCTAGTTTAAACATGTATTTAGATCACTATTTAAAAAGTGCATGTCAAAAATATTCTATATACACTACATACACACACTTTATATAGTTAAGAGAGAAAGTTTAGCTTAGTACCAATCAGTTCCGTTGGCCCAAATAACCACAAGGCACAGAGCTCTACTGCACAACGGCAGGAGCAGGCTATAAGCTGCTTAGCTAGCTCTTGTTGTGGAAAGATACGCTTGGGAGTCCTACACCCCGCGTTAGCGGAACTCGGAGCCAGACAAACAACCGCCTCCATCTGGTTAGAATGCCTGTAAACTTAGTAAGGGTCTTTTCCGATTTTGGGCCAGTTTTTTGGTGCGGAAATACTAGCTGCTCAATACACAGACCTTGAGCAACCAATGCCTGACATCAGGGGGAGAAGGAAGGTTTCCCCTTGCGTCACTTTCAAGCTCTCCGTACGCTGGCCTGCCTACCTACCTGCCCATCGGAGTCATAGCCCCGGCCCCGTGAACCAGTGGCCAAGGCGACTGCCCGAGTGTCTGCGTCGCGGCGCACCCCGCTCAGGACGAAATGCCAGGCCCTGCTGTTACGCGTGCGTCGCGCCATGGTATTCCGAGAGAGGTAAGCTGTGGATGCCAAGGGAGAAGGGGTTACACACAGCAGCAGCGTTCCTCTTCCACCCGCCACTCACCCAGCTCTACCTCTGCAGCAACCTCCCCCAAGTCACCAGACCCCACACGGGAACAGATCAGCATGAACCGTGTCTTTACAGTCGCCATCAATGGACACAGTAGTAAAGTAAGTTCCTCTGGCACCACAGGCTTCTGCAGACTTCAACTTCTTCTGCCACACAGCTCACACTGCCTGACAAATACTGGGGTCAACTTCTCCCTGAGCCTAGCCACTTTGCTGGATCCCCCAAACCGTTCCTAGGATCTGGCAGCAGCTGCCATCCAGGATCTACCTGGCCTGAAGAGAGTCAGGATCACCAGTCATCAAGACACGGCCTCCCCTGTGCCCGCTAACCCTTGAGCAGTTGCTTGGGCTCTGACCGAACCGCTCAGCCCTCTGCACCACCCTGGCCATCGCTGCAGCCACCACGTGGGCCAAACTGCCTGCGCCCACCTGCTGCAAATGCTGTTTGTTCATCGCTGAGCAACTGCCTGTTCGGGCTGTGAGCAGGAGACACTTCAGCAAAGACTTTGCTCTCAGC